GCGCTGGTGCTTACGTTGGCACTAGAGCTGGTGCAGATGTTGGTGGACAACGTGAATAATGTTTGACTCATCAGATCATAAGATGTGACCTTACATTTTTCAATCCATAAGTGAACTTTTCATGATTACACAATCTATCAGGAAAACTTGGCATGTACAAAACCTTCTGGCTGACTCATGTAGACGTCTACATATAAGTTCCCTTTAAGGAAAGCAGTTTTAACATCCATCTGCCATATTTCATAATAATGAAATGTAGCTATAGCAAACATTATCTTGATAGACTTTATCTTAGCTACTGGTGAAAAGTTCTCATCATAATTAATCCCTTGGGTTTGAGTTAAGCCCTTAGCAACTAACTTAGCTTTGAAAGTGTGTACTTTCCCATTAATGTCAGTCTTCTTCTTGAAGATCCATTTGCACCCGAATGTATTTCGACCAGGTACATGATCAACCAAGTTCCACACTTGGTTATCATAAATGGAGTTAATCTCACTCTCCATTTCCTCCTTCCATTTAGTAGCCTCAGGCTGCAATCGCTTTCTTGTAGTTAGCAGGTTCATCCAAATTTAGCAGTGTATGATCACTGACAAACGTATCACCATCTGTAGTAATATGGAAACCATAGAACTCAGGTGGCATGCTAACCCTACTGGACCAACGAAGAGTTAATGAGTTGTCAAATTCCTCAACTGGAATTTCTTCCTCATATTAAGTGCTAGTGTTGTTTGAGGTTCCTTCGCTGGATGACTCTTTAATCTCTTTAAGATCAATAGCACTCCCCACTATCCTCTTTGAATACGATCTTTTTCTCTCGCGAAAGACTCCTCTTCAAGCTATGAAGAGAATGTTCTCACTTGGTCTGTAGAACAAGTATCCAAATGACTTTTGTAGGTAGCCAATGAAATTACACTTCTCGGCTCTAGGTTTAAGTTTTACGTGAATCTCTCATCTTATGAGTTCTTCACAACCCTAGACCTTGATATGTGAGAGCGAGGGGGCTTTCCTTGTCCACATCTCATGAGGTTTTTTTTGGCAACCTTCTTTGTTGGAAAAAGATTCACGATATAGACGGATGTCTCTAAGGCATACCCCCATAAATGCATAGGAAGAGAAGCTCGAATCATCATGGAATGAACTATATCTAGTAAGGTTCGATTACGCCTCTCAAACACACCATTCAGTTGTGGTGTTATGGGAGGAGTTAACTGTGAAACAATTCCACATTCCTTAAGATAGTCGTGGAACTCGATACTAAGATACTCACCACCTATGTCAGATCTGAGCGTCTTTATCTTCATGCCCAATTGATTCTCGACTTCGTGCTTAAACTCTTTGAACTTTTCAAAGGATGCCGATTTATATTTGATTAAGTAGGTATAACCATATCTGCTATAATCATCCATAAATGTCACGTAATATTGATTAACATCCCTTGTGCCAAATCTGAATGGTTCACACACATCCGTATGTATGAGGTCCAACAATCCCTCATCACATATTCTAGTGAAAGGTGATTTTGTGATCTTGTCCAATAGACCAGATTCGCATTCGTCATTTTTTCTTTGATCAAATGATTTCAACACTCCATCCTTTTGGAGTTGGGTGATGTGCTTTTTGTTTATGTGCCCAAGACGACAATGCCACAAGCATTCCTTTTCTACACCATTAGACGAATCAATATGAAACACACTATTGCTTAGGTTGTAGACACAAGTCATAGTTTCATACACACCATTACAAGTTGAAGGTTTAAACATAAAAACACCATTATGATAAGCAGAAGTAGATCCAATATCATTATCAAATGAATATCTAAACAGTTTCTAAACAATGCATGAAATGAAATAATGTTTCGCGTCATATCTAACAATAACATCAATTCAACAAATTAACCCTAACACCACTACCGATCATAAGTTCATAAGTCCCAATCTTGGTAATAGGTGAAGATCGCCTATTCCCCATGATTAGGTTCAACCTTCCATGCTCCACTTCTTCACTTTCTTTTAGCCCATGCAAATCAGAACAAATGTGGAAACCATAACCTGTGTTAAGGACCCAAGAATGAGAAAGTTGTGTGTTATTAACTTGAATAGTGTAAATGAGGAGGAAGCCTTGATCTTTCCATATTTCAAGTCCTGCAATGTCACACCCTCGGTCGCCGGCAGAAACGCCAAGGTGCGCGACGTAAATCAGTAATCATAGTTATTGAACATACATTGAATAGTATAACACAAAATCTTCTATTATCACTGAAATAGAAATTACATCGACAATGACTATTGCTAAATCACTACACACACCTATCAGATCGACGTTTACAATAGTATAATAAAATATTGGAAAGTCTTCTATGCAAATCCTTCAAACCTTTTAATAAACCTGAGAATACATGCATTAAGATACATCAAAAAAATTGTTGGTGAGTTCTATAGGTTTTGACACAAAATATTTTTTATAACCAAAAGTGTTTTCTAAAATTTAGCTGGTTGACCAGCTTTATTAAATAGTTATTTTTTTTATCAAAAGTATAAAATAAACGTGTTATGAAAATGTATTTGGACTCATTTATAAATACCATTTGTTCAAATCCAAGGGTACACAATTTGGCAAAATACACCTAAGTAAAACAAACTTATATCAAATTTTACGGTTCTCATGACCAAAAAATGCATTTTATATAAGGATTTTGAATACCAATTTATATAAAGTAAAGTCATATCACCCTTTGTAAAATCATAAAATATCCAATCTTACTCTTGAAACCTTGTACAAGCATTCATATAGTTTATATGTAAAACTCATAAGTTTTAACTTTATAAACTTTGTAAAATCGTGTCGTAGTATTAATTAAGTGTTATGTTACTTAATTTGGGAACCGACACTTAACCAGTGGGACAAACTTCTCTCAAATAAATATGGTATTTTCATATAAAAACAAAGGGTTTATATAAATAACTTATTAACTGTAAGTTATTAAACCTTAAGCAGCTGTGTCATGATATTAATTAAGTGTTATATGACTTAATTTATGGTATTGACACTTATTGTTCTGGGTCACAAACTATCCCACTACATACAGTCTCTTTCAACTAGTATAAGTGAACAAAAACCCCATATAAACCCAATATCGATTCTATATGGTAATGAAACAAAACTGGGATTTTATAATGAATTCATAACCAAACTCGTGACACTACACTTTTTGCACGAGCTCTATAATAGGGCATGCTAAAGTCATTCACCTCGTTATAGCACGTGGTAATGTTCAATGAAACTAAAAGTGAGTGCCTAAATTTGTCTCGTCAGATGTTAGTTGTAGCTAGCAACTCCAGGCGGGCGGTCGAACCGTATAAGATCAATAGTATGACACTTATACATGTCGTTAGTCGTTCCTTGTAGATTAACGGTTTTGAAATGAAAGATTTCTACTAACACATTCGGTCTCAGTATCCACAATATCATAGCCAGATAGCTTATGAAATGATTCTAGCTCTTATGGCGTTAGAAACAACATGGCACCTACAAAGAGACACTGGAGTGTTGGATCCTAACAATGTGTCTAGGCATCCTAGTTATAAACTTCGCGTTATAGATTAAAAGAACACCTATGGTTCTTTTATGTTTAGGAATAATTATTGATTTAAGTCTTTTGGTATTTGCGATTTGTAACACTTAATATATTTCCAAATTTCTATTGCCTGTTATGGAGAAATTTGGGCAACATGACGACTAATTTTATAACATTTTCCAGGTTTCAACCAACATGAAACCAATAATTCTCATAATATTCAATAAGCTGCATAATTGATACGATATAAAATTTATTTGGTAGAGATTCTTAAAATCCGAGAATCAATTATGTTATAATATATGACGGATTTCATACTTCAGTAAAAATGATTTATATTTTTATAATATTTAGAAAAATATAATATATTGTTTATTTAAACTCATTTCAACGTGATGATCAAGAGTATAATAATAATAATGATTTTGGTATATTAATTGATTTCAACGTGATGATCAAGAGTATAATAATAATAATGATTTTGGTATATTTCAATTAATTATTATGTATTTCTTTAATCTTCGTTTATCAACCATTTAAGGTAATGTACATTTATTTGGTACATAATTAGGTTGAATAACATATTTGGTTGTATGTATAATGTCTTTTCATGCTTTCTCAACATATTCGTGCGTATACATGACAAGGCTTTGAACTTGTGATTCGTCAAGTATATTTATAGCTTTATATCAATCTACTTAAAATCTTGTGATTTTCAGTAATATTAATTAATATATCACAATAAGGTGTAATTATATCATTTATAGCATTCTACTATAACTTATATGTTTTATTGATGATTTATACAATTTAGATTGTTATTTCATAAACTTTTTGACCTATAACAAAGTATGATGTTATTTTGTGTATAAAGCTTGAAAATTATCAAAACTTTAATAGACAAACATGCATTCTCCCCCAAATATTAAAAATATAAAAAGAGGGGCCGTAGAAACTCACCCTTGACGTGTGATTTCGATTTGTATGGAGTTGGTTCATTTGTGTGAAACTTGACATGAGAAACCGCAACTCGACACTCTTGAACTTTGAAACACTTTTGGAACCGTTTTGTATTTATTTAAACAAAAAGGGACTGCTTTGTAATGATTTAAATCAAAGGGAAAACAATTTTGATCTTAAAAAAAACAAATGAAGGGCTGATTGGTCACATTAACACCAAAATGGCTGATTTGGTAATATTGTACAAACAATAGGGTTGTGTTTGATTAAATGTTTGCAAATGGGCTGATTTTAATTTAAATCTACAAATGGAGGGGCTGGATTTGCTAAACTCATCAATCAAAAAGGGAAGGAGCCCTCGTTTTCATCAGACCGAGAAAAGGAACGGACGAACGCAAGCTAGGGAAGAACGAAGGTAGAAATCAAAGGGTTAGGGCTTTGATTCTCGTTTGATCGGGAAGGAACAATGAAAGAAGAAATCGGGAAGCACCTCCAGTGCTTGACCGATTCGAAGAAGGAGAAGGATGAAAACAATGGTGGTGGAGTGTGGTTCGGTGGTGGCAGACCCGTCAACAGAGGAAGAGTCGTCGAGCCCGACAATTATCTTGGCTTCCTAGACCTCGTCGCGGGAAGGAATCGAGGGAGTAGCTGTGATGGTCGACAATTTCAGGGGGTGTTCGGATGGTTCGTTTGACAGGTATCAAGGGAAAAAAGGGGTTGTTGCCCCATTGTTCACCGGAAATAGAAGATGAAGAAAGGGGAAAAAAAGCAGAAATCGGATCTTCAAATTTAGCAGCAAAAAAAAGAGGATTCAATGGAGGTTTCTTTGGGTCTTGAAATTCAGCAAGTAACAAGGACTAGACATGTAATGTTTTTGTAGCTGTTCTTGGTCTTTAGTTTCAGTAGCAAAACTAAATTTTGCAAGGGTGCTTTTGGTGTGGTAATATTGGGAAAACCGTAGAAAAACCCCATGCATTTTACCTCAATGCTTAAAACAACCCTTATATTAATTTTATGCTCAATTTAACCATTATTAAAGCTGATCTATCCCCTTTTTAGCTTTATAACCGGTTGCAATTTAACAACCGGCAACATAACCAAAAATAGATTAAAAGCTGTGGCCGCTTCAAAATCATCATCTCGTTCCTCTTCGTCTTCTTCCTTTACTTAACTGTTGCAGGAAACCGTAGATTAGTCGTTCTTCATAGTGTACGTAACGTAACTGGTCAGTGGAATGGAAACCATCGTTGGACTGGTATACGAATGGTGTGGACTGCGGAAGAATAATGGGTTACGCCGCACTTGGAGTTGGACTGCCGTTGGCCGCTGCTCATCTCGACGACCTGTATAATCAACAAATTCCTCCGGCTAACACTTACAAATGGCTTTGTTTTATCTTACGACGACACTCGATTCTCCGGTTTCCATTCGCCTTTCTTGAATTCCCTGATTACTCTGTTATGATAAGTGAAACCAATTTCATTCTTCGTTTCTTCTATACCCTAATTTCTGCCCCAAACTGATTGAATTTCCCAATTACTCTATATATCTATTATCTCCGGCATCTCTTTTTGTCAATCTTCGATATCTTTTTCCTTTTTTCAATTTTGATTGTTGATTATGGTTGTAATTTTTTTTTTTTTTTTTCAACCATCAACGCCAACCTTACAGTGCCTCCTGGAACACGCCCTAAATCGAGTTACAAAGCTAGAACGTAAGGATCTACGTGTAGTCGGTGCAAGTAGAACCGACGCCAGAGTTTATGCCCTCGGCCAGGTCTACCTGTTTGTTGATGAGGTTAGATTAAAAGCTTGAAACGTGATTTTATATTTTTTTCAGGTGGCACGGTTGGTTACACCATTCAATTACAAGGATCTGCATGACATGAACGCAACACTGAATGGTCTTCTTCTTCCTGATGTTGGAATTCGAGAAATCAGCCTTGCACTCCCCGACTTCCATGCTCGTTTTTCAGTCACCAGAAAGATCTACCATTACAAGATTTATAACGACACTGTCTTGGACCTATTCCATCGTCTCTATGCTTATCACAATCTTTCCGAACTCAATGTATCTGTCATGAAAGAAGCAGCCAAGTATTTTGTAGGGCAACATGATTTTTCTTCTTTCGCCAATAAACAACGCAATGATCACGTAGTCAATCCAGTCAAGAATATATCTCGAGTGGATATAATCGAAAAGGTATAAAGTTTTTGACTTTTTTTTTTTTATCAGATGTCATGTTGACCGTACAAATTTTTTCTTTTTTTCAGGGACCTATTTTGCAGGTTGAGGTTTAAGAGGATATTTAGGATTTTGCAAGTTATGTAATGTTTGTTTGAGGCTTAATTGTGCATTTAGAAATAATATCTAGATTCTAGTAACAATATGATACTTAACCATAATGAGAGCTCATAAATATTTCTCAACAATACCCATATCGCCATTATTGAAGGTGGGAATCGAATAGGAGGAAGGATTAACACTTCAGAGTTTGGTGGTGACAGAATTGAAATCGGTGCTACTTGGATCCATGGAATTGGGGGTAGCCCAGTTCATAAAATAGCTCAAGAAATCAATTCCTTGGAATAAGACAAGCCATGGGAGTGTATGGATGGGTTTCTTGATGACCCAATCACCATAGTTGATAATGGGTTTACGTGTTAAATGAAGGAGAAAAGGGGTGAATTGAGGGCTGAAACCGAGAGGGCAACAACTCTTTTCTTACTCTCGGTATTGGTGAGTTTCAAACGGAGAAAGGGGCTGAAAGATGAGGGAGTTTGAGAGGTTACAGTGAGGAGGAAGATGAGAATGATTGCTAGCTGTAACTTCATGATCTCAAGCAGATTTTTGGAAGACTTCTGTTGATTTTTGGAGTCCTACATAATCTATGGGAGATTGCATAAGTGCAAAGATAAATTTCCCTTCAAGACATAGATCATGTGCTTTCCTATACATATGTGAATGTGTGTGAGGTGAGAAGAAATCGAGAGTGAGAGAAAGATGGGTAAAAGCTGGATATTCATTTGTATTAGTGCATACTTCTAACAGATTTAATGTATATTTTTAGGTTTAATAATGTTGTTTGCATGTGGGTATTTGTTTGAGACATTTTAAGGCAATAATGCACACCCAATATTTATGCACTCCCATATTAAAGTTTACTATATATCTTTATAAGATATATAAAGAATTTGAGATTTGTACATAATAAGTGTGCAAATTGTATATATACTAGTAATTAATATTTGGGGATGATACATAACATATATATAAATATTTATATATTTGGTGTTGTTATATACTCTTAATTACATAACATATATCCATTGTGTTTAACACAATTTCCTAATTGTCATATGTAATATGGATTTTATAAGAACTATGGTAACTAGATATTGCATTGTTTGGAAAATACGTTCCTCACACGTTTATGTATATAAATGTACATGATTTTAGAAATATTGAGTTATTTCATCGTTAAAATTCATAACAACTGGATTGGATTTCCAAACAATTTCCAAAATGAATTACTAATCATATAATCCATGTCGAATTCAATAATTTAAGTTTTCATGTTCAATTTGATATAATTTTATGGTTTTCACGACACCTTTTCCCCATTGTAATAGATTAACGTTTAAAATGAACTCGGATGAAAATGATAAGTATTTGAATTCAAATTAGATAAATTTTTGGGCAATTAAGTATAATCCCACTTACTTTCATAAATCAACATTGATTTATCGTACAATAGGTGTAATTATAGTCACGTTCGTAGTGATTTACCGCCAATTGTTGACCTATTTTACCAATTGTCACATTATCCCCCTGTTGAAAGGAATTTTGTCCCGAAATTTAGCGTGTAGGTAGAACATTAATAAACAATTGGTGGCGTTTTTGCTTCATTTGATTCTAACATGGTCCTTCTATAGTCGTTTTACGTCGCATAACTCGAGATTGGGTTCTTGGTCGAATGGATGCTCTGTTCTAAGCCCATAAAAAGAAAGGAATAGGGAATAAGATCGAATAAAGTATTTTAAAGGCTGTCGAATCTTTTATACAATTCTATCGTGTGTACTTTCACAAATATGAAACATTAGCACGGTTTCCTAGTAATCTTCATTGAAATAGATAGCAATTATATCATCATACATACACTTCTTGAGTTTCTGCGCATATAACGCATCGTGCATGTTGTTTAGTTCTCAAGACAACTTCATGTAATTAACATGACCAATTTCGTTAGGAATTTCAAAGGTACTTTGAGTCACAAGTTTAACTTGACTCGTTCTCTAATCTGAATCATTTCCCTAAAAGGGAAGAATTTTAAAGTTACACAGTCTCCGACTTGGAATTCAAAAGGCTTACATTTTTCGTTTACATAACTGTCAAGATTGATAGGTGAATCTACTATCTTAGTGAGAAATGATAAACATCGGCACCCCATGCATTCTGACTAATTCCTCGGCATACGTGCTGATCAGATTTCTAACTTCTGGAATGTAATTTCTTGCTTGTCTTCCCAGTTGGATTTTGTCTCCATGTTGTTCAGATGATAAGTTAGAACAAACTGATTGTAACTAGGAGGCAAAGAGTTAAGGAACATGTCAATGGCCAACTCTTTGTCAAACGAATCATTGAGCCTTTCCAGTTGCTCCACGTATCTCTGCATTCTTTGTACGTGAGCACAAACAGATTCTCCTTCCTTGAGTTTGCATGCCATAAGAGACTTGACCACTTCATAACATTCTTTTCTCGATTTCTTGTAAAAATTTTCAACAAGATTGAGGCACATCTCATAATCCATAGTGGCCACCATGATGCAAGCAACCTTAGTGGCATCATCAGAGTATTTGTTGTAGGCAATTTCCTTAGGATTAACGGTCGAATGATCGATTTCAAGGAGAGGATCTTCGAGAACGTATTCCTTGTTCTTGTACCTAAGAGTCATCTTCAGGTTATGCATCCAATACTTGTAGTTAGGACCAGTTAGCCTCTCCTTTGACAGAATTGATAGAAGATTGAAGTTTGAGTGGGGAGTGGTAGTTTGAGTAGTAGCGAGTTCACCGGTTTCAGACATCTATATAAAGAGACATAGTTTTAGTTAGTGATATAAATCCTTAATATTTTAACCCAAAATAAGTATTCAAGGCTAGGATACAAAATACAATTCACAATAAAGTAATCTACTTGCGAATTTATCAAGGTAGGTAATACAAATTTACTAATTTCAATCTAATATGAAATTCCTAGATCAATTGAGATTCATTAAATCTTATCAATGGCATGTTTAATCTAAGATTATGTTGTTCATTTTGTGACTGGGATGCCGAGGATCACAAACAATATGTGAATAACCATGCAAACCCACTAGACTACCTCAAGGTCATTTATCATCACAAATTGATGTGCTGGTAAACCACACATGATAAATCAATAATGATAATTTTTGATTTTCCATCACTCAACTTTATAGTCCCAAATTAGTGTGCCGGTGAACCATACACGCTCCACTAACGACTTATAAAGAGTGATGTGCGTTTTAGAGGATGAGCATACACTTCACATTTTTCCTGAAGTAACTAGAGTGTGATTTTTAAAGTGGTTATTTTACTTTATAACATCATTCTTTTAATGAAGTTATGTCCTATCAAATCCGTTCGGCTAACGACCCTCCACCACACAAGGGAGTGGCGGGTGAGAGTGGACACCCATTCAACAATAATTTTATAGGTCGTTTCCTTATACCCACTTATAGTATGACTTCATGAATGAGGCGTACTAGCAATTTGACCGACTTTTCTTATACGTATGGTATTACACATTTAATATTACATAATATAAGGTGTATTTAAAACTTTTCAAAATACTAGGTCTAAAATTAATTTACGAAATTAACAATTAATTAATTAATTTTAAACAATTAATGATTTACCAATTATCCTTTAATTAAGTAATTCAATTAATTTAAATCATTAAGGATTTAAATAATTATCTTTAATTAAACAATTAATAAATTAATTCAAATTTTAATTATTAGGGATAAAATATTTATCTTCAATTGAACAATTAGTAAAATAATTCAGATTTAATCATAATCCCAAGAACCCTTCTAATTTTCGAAAATAAGGGTTTAGGGTTACTAGGTTTTTAAGTATCCAAATTTTAAGGCATTTAAAATTGTAATTAAGGAAACTATTAACCCTTGGGGACACCTATAAATTTTTGAAAATAAGGATGGAGGCTAGGGTTTCAAGAACCCTAGCCTTGCGAAAATTTAACTTTCAATAAACCCTATTTTTGATCCATTCACTATTATGCACAATCAAATATCAAACTAAGGCTTTGATACCACTGATGAGTTTCCTAGGTTATAAAATTACATATAAGCGGAAAACATAAACCCTTAAGTTCACATGAAACTTAGAAAGGATCTATATTTTCTTTATTGATAGCAATAAACTATAAATATCAAGAAACCATAAGGAGAGGCTATGAAAATTGAAAACCATATAAAGATTAGTGTTACATATCTCTAGATTATTATAGTAAATAATCACACCAAATCCTTTTAAAGTTCCTTAGAAAGCAAGCACCAAAAGCTTGAATGCCTCTAATGGCTTGTACCCAAAACCCTATTAATTAGAAGACTCAAGGATAGGAGAGGGGATAGTTAAAATTTAGGCTATCCTTAGAGATTGTTGAGTGGCCAATAATATGTACCATAAGGGTCCTATTTATAGTTGATAACGAACCATTGAAACCCTAATTTGAACAATATAATATTATATTTCAAATTGATAATTATCCAAGTCCTTTATTATCTAATAGGATTAATATAGAAACCCTAAAAGGCCTAGCCAAAACTGGCCATCCCTAGTAGGTTCTATAAATCCAATTTTGTTCAACTATTGAATAATTACAGCTTAACCCATGCACTTTCAATTAATTCTAATTAACCCGAAATTAATTTCGATAAATTTATGATTAATTCTCCATTAATTATTTCTATTGCAAATTAATATCTTAATCATATAATATATTAATAAATAATTTATTTCAATTTATTGATCATATAATAAATTAACAGATCAGCCTCCCTCTCTCTCTCTCTCTCTCCAAAAGTCATTATGTTCAGTTACTGGTGATGAGGGCAACATAAAACGAATTTTGCTTCTAATTGATGAATATACCAATTTAGTTATTGTCTTAGACACCTTAACCCAAAACAATCTACCTAACTAACAGTGCCTTCGTAACCTTGAGATTCTTCCTGATCTAAGTATGAGTCCTGTGCTTCGGGTAGTATAGGCATCTACTACTTTTCACACCTACTCGTACTTGTCCTACGAATTGTCTTGCAGTCTCCAAACCACTTCCAATACCACACACGATGACTGCTTATATATGTATCTGTACCAGGAGCACATACAACATGTTTCCTAGATTCCACTAGGACTTCATATCTTTACCGACATCCTACCTTACGAATATATTACATATGAAGCATATAATAAACTTCTTAGACTTCCATTCTAAGATTCCTTTCTACTTCACCCTACTAATAGGTGAGGGGGAACTTCTACCAATATTCAACGGATAATGACTCAAAAGGGTAACATATTTTTAGGTTTGTACACATTTAGTCATTGACTTTTTTTGTCTAAATTTTCCCATTGAACTTGTTAAGTTGTTCAAAAAACATCCTTATGACCTACTATTGGAGGTTTAGCCAGTTTCCAGCATTCTTGTGAGCTCCGGTGAGACTCCAGTCATCTTTTCCTGCGAGTCTCCAACCAAAAACACCAAAAAAACACATACATAAACAAAAAACACCTAGATTCATGTGTTTTCCTGAAGAAATTCTTCAACCCCTTCAACCCAAATTGAACATCTTCAAGAACAACTAGATCTAAAAAATGAGTTCATCAAAATGTTTTCAGATTTGCGTGTGAGTGTGTGTGTGGTTGCTAGATCTAAACAAAAATTCTCCAACCCTTCAATCGATGTATATGTGTGGATTTATTAGATCAAAAAACACATACACAATCATGTTCATCCCTTCAAACCCTTCGACCCAAAAATCATAAACCC